ATATATATATATATACTTAAGTATATATATATACTTATACTATAAGATATAGTATATACACACAGTGTATACGGTGGAATTCTACCCCATTGTAAAAAAGAACAAAACCTTGCCATTTGTGACAACATGGATAGATTTTAAGAGTATTAAGCTAAGTGAAATAAGACCAGCAGAGAAAAATAAATACTTACACTGTCACTAATGCAGAATCTGAAAAACAAACTGAATGAATAAAACAAAACAAAATGAAACTAATAAGCAGACTGGTGGTTCCCAGGGAGAAGAGGGAACAGGGGTGGTGTAATAGGTGAACGGGGTCAGGAGGTACAGACTTCCAGTTGTGAAGTGAATAAGTCATGGGGATGTGGTGAGCATCAGGGTGACTGTAACCAATGGTACTGAGCATATTGAAGGTTGCCAGGGAAGAGTGACTCTTAAAAAAGTGCTCATCAAAAGAAAAAACATTTTTGTAACTTTTTTATGGTGACTAGACTTGTGGGGGTGATCGTTGCATAGTGTATACACGTGTTGAAACACATTGTAGACTTAAAACTAAACTTCCTAGAAAATTTTAAGCAAGAACTTACTAGCCAATGAACTACCCTAGTCCATTATACTGAAGTAGCTTTATTTTTAGATTTCACTGAATATAAGATTGTTTCTATTGGAAGATGCACCTTACGTACTACCAAAAAGATATTCTAACTAAACTGTAATATAATACCACTCATGCTTAGAATTTTGATTTTATACTTAATAAAAGAGCTATTTTAGTCTCACATGCAGACATTTTTATCATTAATCTTAAACATTCATGGAAAAATACAAACAAAACAAATTTATTACACTCCTCAAACATCTTTCTGTTCCAAGTCCAATTTTTCTGAATCACTTTTAAATCAGAACTGTCATTATTTTTTTCCCAAACATATCATCTTTTGTGTCATCAAGAACATTGATACTCTAGCCCTTTTAAAAATAATGTTCCAGTATCATCTCCAGTAGTTTTTTCCAAGTCATGGACATTCATTTTGCCCATTTTGAAGTTAGCACTTTCTTGACTTTTAGAAGATTTCAGAAAGGTGTTTTAGAAAACAACCAGACCTCAGATTCCTGTCTGAAATTATCTAAAATAGTTGTTCATAGAAAGATCAAGGCATTGCAATTGTTGGGTCATGTCCAGGAATATAAGCCTAGTCCATTCTGCAGCACCAACTGTGGCCTGCTACTGATCTGACAGTGATTATTAGATGCCTACCTGTTGTAAGACATCCTGATTTCAGAAATGTTAGAGCATGGGAAAATGTGTGTTTTAGAATCAATGAAATATTGCTAAATTTTTCTTTAACGGCAATAATTTAAAAGTTTGTGGCAAAACTTCTGTATATGCCACATTCATTATCATACTATCCAGAGCTCCTATGAGTAAATTCTTGAAGTCTAAACTGAGAAATGCCCATGCAGGGAGCAGCTCGATTTCAAAACAACCTCTACATTTCAGAATTTTGTCTTATGAATTATTGAGTCATGGCATAGTTGTTCACTGGGAGCTGCAAAAGGAGATTCTAGGGATTCAGAAACATTCAGAAGTAAGAGTTTTTCTTTTATTATACTTAATTGAGGAACACAATTATAGGTTTTCTGTTATTTTAAAATCTCTAAATTCTGGGGGTAGCTGGGTGGCTCGCTCAGTTAGGCACCTGACTCTTGATTTTGGCTCAGGTCATGATCTCGCAGTTCATGAGTTTGAGCCCTGCATGGGGCACTGCACTGACAGCACTGAGCCTGCTTGGGATTCTCTGTCTCCTATCTCCCTTTCTCTGTGCCTTTCCCCTGCATGCACTCTCTTTCTCTCAAAAATAAATAAACTTTAAAATAAAGTCTCTAAATTCTGGATGTTGTCACATTAATAAAAAATTTCAATAGTTCTGATATGATTTAACAATAGAATTTCATATAATCTTAGATTCATTATTCTGTGTTAGGAATTGGCAAAAAAAAAAAAAAAATCCAGAGATTCAGCAGATACTGAATTTCTTCAGCATACTTAATTTGGAGCCATTATTTGAAATCACTTCCTGCTTTTGTCCATAGCATTTTAATTCTTAATGGCATGTCCCTGAATTGGCAGTTCAATGTCCCTTGAGCTGGACTTCGGCTTCAATCACCTCTACAAAATCAGTCACAGCATATTATATCTTGGATATAGATGTTTTCAAAAATTACTGTCTCTTTGGTTGCTCAAATATTTTTTATCTTAGTTCTTAGATCTCATTCACCCTTATGAGAATGTACCTCTCTCAATGGGCCCCCAAGCATTCTTCACATAGTACATCACTACCCCTGGCTCCTAAAAGAGCTTGTCTCCTTAGATTGGCTTTCAAATTTCAAATAATTATCTCCTTTAGAGAGATTTTTAGAGTCTTTCCACTCTTCTCTCTCCTTTATGTGTAGCTCTTACTCATATAAAACTAAGATTTTTATATATCCTTGAAGTGGTATTCAGATCATGAAAAACTGATGATCATTTGGGACTCAGATTTGTAAAATTAGAGCAGAATTCATATAATAAGGGTTTCTTAATATAATTCATTGAAATCCTTAAAATGATGATTTTAAATGATCTTTAAAATCTTTTCAATTCTTTATGAAAGAAAAAAAAATCCAAACTTGTTTTAGTTAGTTTTGGTAATTTGAGTTGCTGTAACTGTCTCCAAAATCCCAGTGGTATATCACAATGAAATCTCATTTCTTACTTATAAAAATGCTTGCAGTTTGCCCATGATTGTACCATGCCTTTCAGAAGCCAGGCCCTTCCAACTGGGTCTGTCTCTATCTTTCATTCTTTAGAGTCCTGGTTGAGGGATTTCTGAATACTCCATTTTCATCATATTTGTTCTAATGCCTCCAGTAGGTATTGCCTCCCCATAAAGGACCGGCTTCATTTACAAAGTGGTATGGAAAATCTCAATGTTTTCAAAGGTTTTATCTTTTTGTTTAATGATAGCTTTATTGAGATATAATTCATATACCATATTCACCCTTTAAAGTCTACAATTCAGTAGGTTTTAATATATTCACAGAGTTGTACAACTATCACCACAATTTAATTCAGACTATGGTTGCCAGTCCAAAAAGCAACCCCATATCCCTTAGCAGCCACTATCTATATGCCCCTTCTCACCAGCCTCTGGTATCCACTAACCTACTTTCTGTTTCTTTGGATTTTCCTGTTCTGGGCATTTTATGTAAATGGAATCATACACTGTATTTTTTGTGACTGGCTTCTTTCATTAAAATGTTTTCAAGGGTGATCCATGTTATGGCATGTGTCACTAAACTACTTCATTCCTTCCTATGGCAGAAAAATATTCCATTGTATGGATATACCACATTTTGCTTATCCATTCAATTGATAGACCTTTAGGTTGTTTCCACTTTTTGGCTACTATAAATAATGCTGCTATGAACATTTGTGTACAAGTGTTTGTGTGGACATATATTTTATTTATTTTGGGTATACACATAGGAGTGAAATTGCTGGATCATAGGGTAACAGTATATTAAAATTTTTGAGGACCTGCCAACCTGTTTTTCAAAGCAGGTGCACCATTTTACAATCCCACCAGCAACACTTGAAAGTTTAAAGGTTTAAGTTTTAACTCACTGTATACTCCAACAAAGACAGGCCACGTATTTTTTAATTTTGTACTTCACACTTTTTTATCCTGAATCATCTTGCACTTTCTAAAGCAGAGACACAAAATATTTTCCCTTTAGTGTGATGTTAAATGAGATGATTCTCCAATAGTTTCCTATTTTATTTATTCTAGCCAAGGAAAGATGCCAGAAGCAATTAAATACTTGAAAAAAGTTGTGGAAATTGCAAGAAATAATTTTCAAAGCCTAGATGTCGTGAGAGCAAGTACAATGCTTGGGGACATCTATAATGAAAAAGTGAGTATGTGTTTCTTTATTATTATTATTATTATTATTATTATTATTATTATTTGAGAGAGAGACAGCATGCGCGTGCATGAGCAGGGAGTGGGGCAGAGAGAGAGGAAGGACAGAGGATATGAAGTGGACTCTGTGCTGACAATAGACATCCCAATGTGAGGCTCGAACTCACCAACCAGAGATCGTGACCTGAGCCAAAGTTAGACACTTAACCAACTGAGCTACCCAGGCGCCCCTGTTTCTTTCGTACAGGTAGAAATTTGCAGAGTTTTAAAATTCTATTCCCATTTGACTCTCCCCTTCCCATAATATGTGATGCAGAGTGACCTCAGGACTACAGGGCCTAGTTAATGCACAAGACAGTTCCTTCCTCTTCTTCTAGGACCTGAGAGCCATCTTGGGCACAGTCACCACAAGCTGCTAAAAGTGATTCATATCTTCACAACCAGTGAAGATTCTAAGTGGTTTTGGATTTGAAGAGCAATTAAAACATTTCAATTCAAAGAATATCATTATAATGGTTGGCTTTTATCTACTGACACTAACATTCATCTCCTTGCTCCAAATTCTCATTTTATTAATCCATCTGTGATGCCCCTCCTAGGTCCCTCAGGAGAAGAAAGCACAATCCCAAGAGTAATTCTGAAGGAAATATGGAATTCTAGCATCAGATTGGTTATGTGAAAGAAAAGAGAAACAAGAGAAAGTCTAAAATTAAAAGTATCCTATTCAAGAGGTCATTACTAGTATAATGCATTGGTCATAATGCATTGATCTTTTGATTTATGTTCTCATGACTTTGTATTTTATTAACTAGATTTTTCTTTAAGAAACAGTATAAAAGAGGCTTTTTTTTCTCTAGTTATAATTGCTGTTTTGATAATGAATAGGATCTATCATTTTTGAGGGTAGTTTCATTCATTCTTAATGTTTATACACCTTTTCTTAATTTTTTTGAGAGGTGGTTTATGTCGTGATTAAAAGCACTAATTCTGAGACCAAACTGGTTAAAAGCCTAGTTCTTTCACTTATAAGATCTGTGACCTAGGACAAGTTACTTACCTTTTAGGTGCCTCAATTTTCTCACCTCGTAAGGTTGCAGTGAGTACTGAGTTAATAAATGTAAAGCAATTAGAATAGCATCTGGCAGGGGAAGCCAGTGCCAGCTATATAAGCCATTATTACTCTCTACACCTTTATGTGGTATCATACAATTCCCCTTTTCCCAAGGCTCAGAGGGTTTAAATAACCTACCCTAGGTCTCCGTGTTTCTAGGTGGCAGTGGTATTCAAACCTATACTCTTCACCACTACAGTCTTTTATTTGCCATATAATTTACTTTGATGATTTCATAATTATTTAAGCTCTTTTTTTTTTTTTAATTTTCAGATTTATTTATTTTGGGACAGAGAGAACAGAGCATGAGCAGGGGAGGGGCAGAGAAGGCACAGAATGGAAACCGGCTCAAGCTCATCAGCCCAGAAACTAATGGCAGGCTCAACCTCACCAGGACCTTGAATCGTGACCCTGGCTAGTCAGTTAACAGCCGACTTCTTTTTCACCAAGCCTGCTTTTAAAAGGCTCAAAGTTTGAAATTAATTTGAATGAATGAAACTACTGTCTTTAGTCCCTGCTATGGGAAACACGCTTTCTTTTTTTTTTTTTTTTTTTAATTTTTTTTCAGATTTTTATTTATTTTGGGACAAGAGAACAAACGCATATGAACAGGGAGGGCAGAGAGAGAGAGGGGAGACACAGAATCAGAAACAGGCTCCAGGCTCTGAGCCATCAGCCAAACCTGGCAGACGGACTCCAGCTCTGAGACCCGCCCGAGATCGTGACCTGGCTACGAAGTCAGGCCTTGTACCGACTTCGCCACCCAGAAGCGCCAGGAACTTTCAAACAAGGAACCTGATTTCTTTGTACACCCCTCTCTCTTGCTAGCCCTGGTTCATTTGCTTCCTCTCTCTCCTATTACTCACTATCTTTAAACCCCCCTTTTTCTCTTGACTCTCACCCTCTACCTTCTTTCCTCCTCCCCTACACACCTTGCCCTTCTCTCCTGCCCCTGTCGTTCTGGTCTTGCTCTCAACTCAGTGGTCCTCTCTCCTGATCCCCACTTCGTTTCCCCTCTTTCTTTGTGCCTCCCCAGGTGTTCCCCCAGGTCTTTCTCTCCGCTGTGTCCCCATTCTGCTGCCCTATCTCTGTGGCACTACGCTACTCTGGTGACTCCTCTCTCCTGGATCTTGTACGTGCTTTTGTTTACTTTTCAGGATACTGTGGTGAAAAACAGACAAGGCTTATGCCCTTGCGAGGCTGACAGCCTAGTGGGAGCTCATGCTGTAGTAGCAGAATTGATATTCCTAATTATACATAGTCTTACTTTTTAACAGGGTTGTTCTTTAAAAAAGAAATGCAAAAAATGCAAATTGCTTTACTCTTCTACCAAACAATACTCAGAACTCAGTGTTTTGGTATGGCACAAATACTAAGCATCTGCCTATATTTTCCTAATTGCAGAAAGCCTAAGGAAAACGAAACAATAAACCTTTCTAAGAGGTAATTTTTACATTTGCATTTTTAAGCTTTTTTGCCAAGAGTTTGTATCTCATCATATTCTCTGGTTTTTAATTCTTAAAGAAGAGTCCAATATCTTAAAGGCAAGAAACATGAATAATGTCCAAAGGCTGTGTCAACTACCAAAAGTTAATTTTCTTACCAGTTTATCCCAATTCTAATATAAAATTTGGAGGATTCCAGGTATTCATGCTATCTTCAAGTATGCATGCCTTCAAATATACAAGTTGGTTCATGCACCTTAATGATTACTTACATTTTAATGTAATAAATGGTCACTGAAAAATAGTATGATATTAAGTACACAATACTATAACAGTTTAATTGCATGACAGACTTCTGAACAAAACTTGCTTTGTTACTAAAATTGTTAATGTTGTACTCAATTTTTTTGCATTACTGTGATTCTTCGCAGATACTTCCTCAAGTCAGAAAATCTACTGATAACTTCTCAGGCTGAATCTGAATTGTTAAATCATTACCAAGAGTATGATTTGAAAACATATAACAAAGTGGGTTTATTAGAACTAAATATAGTTATTTTTCCTTCTCATCTTTTTGAAACAAGAGGATAGCCTTGATGACATCCTGAATTTCCTTCTAGTTCTACAAAGGGAACTAGAGAAATGACAAGGAATGACTAGGAAAATAACATTTCCTGGGGGAAATGACAAAGAATTATTTCATGTCTCTGTTTTCAGCTTATGGATATTTCCTAATTATATTAAATGCCTTTATTTCAGTGATATACCTGAGCAATTTCATAAGCTGTTGTGCATCACATGCTATCTACTACACTTTTCCATGAAGGAAACTAGCAGGATGAAGAGGAACCTCACTGATTTTTGCCCACCTGACCCTGAATCTGAATTCAGCTACTTATTAACTGTGACCTTGGGCACATGAATTCTTTGATCCTCAGTTCTTTCATATTTTAATTGTCAATAAGATGCCTTGAAGACTAGCTATTTAAGGATTAGAAATGTAAAAATATGTACATGGTACCTAGGTGAGTTCCTGGAACATACTGGGTACACAAAAGCACTTAGCTTCTTAATATCTCAAGCTCAGATCTCTCCCTGCAACTTCAGACTCGTATCCTACTGTCTGCTTGACATCTTCACTTAGATCACTTCAAATATAAACTGTTAAAAACTGAACTCATCGTTTTCCCCTCTAAATTCTATTCCTCTATTAACTTAGTATTCAACTATGATAGAATATGATTCAGGTATTTTCTAGTCAGACTTCTCAGTCTGTGAGCTCCCCTTATCTGACCTCTTCCAAGTCCATGGCTTTAAATAGCATCCATATGCTGATGACTCCCAAGTTTGTATTTCCATCCCTGATCTCTCTTTGGGACACATGTAACTCTAACTGGCTACCTAGCATCTCCACCTGGATGTCTAACAGACATGTCAAATTTAACATGATTCCTTCCTCCCAGTCTTCCACGTCTAAATAAATGGCATCATTATCTATCAGCCCCCTTGCTCAAGCCAAAAATCTGGATATTTTTTTTATTCTTGTCTCCTTTCTGATCTATATCTAATCCAGAACCAAACCCTGACCTTTATGCCACCAAAACGTATTTCAGATCCACCTTGTTCTCTGTGTCTTCTCCTGTCATCCTGTCAGTTTATGACACTCTATTCTGTCTCCTGCATGACAATTAAGTTCAAGCCCATTCCCTGCTTCTCCCTCGTATCATCAAGTCTCCACACAGAGGCCCAAGTAGTCCTTTTAAATGTAAATTAAATTATGTTATTTCTGTGCTTAAAATGCCTCCGTTACTTCCCATTCTTCTTAGAACATAAATATAAATCCTCACCCCAATCTGAAATATTCTATGTGAGATGTACGCTCCCCTACCCCACCTCTGACTTTATTTCTTCCCACTCTCCTCATCTACTCCACCACAGCCACATGGGCTTAGTGAAGTCCTTCAAACATACGGAGCTTGTTCCTGCCTTAGGACATCTGCTTTAGCTGGAATGCCCTACGGAATGCTCTCTAATCTGAACTTCATATTGCTGATGTCTTGTCATCATATCTCAGTCAAATGTCATATCTTCAGAGAGGCCTTCCCTTGGCAACCCAATAAAAATAGCCACATGGGTGAAGGTCGTTTGAAGGTACAAACTTCCAGTTATAAAATAAGTAAATCTTGGGGATGTAATGTACAGCATGGAAACTACAGTTAATTATATTATATATTTGAAATTTGCTAAGAGTAGATCTTAAATGTTCCCATTACAAAAAAAAAAAAATGTGTAACCATGTGAGGTGATATTAACTCAACTTATTGTGGTGATCATTTAGTAATATATACAAATATTTAATCATTGTTATATACCCAAAACTGTACGAAAGTACTTTGAAAATGTACTTGTATTTTGTAATTTAAGGTGCCGTTATTGTTATTCATATGGAACACTGTTTAATCACAGCTACCGTTTTTCTAATTTGAGTCCTCAAACACATTTTCTTAATCTAAAAATGATAAAAATCTTGGGGTGCCTGGGTGACTCAGTTGGTTAGGCAAACAACTTTGGCTCAAGTCATGATCTCACAGTTTTTGAGTCTGAGCCCTGCGTCTGGGCTATGTGTTGACAGCTTGGAGCCCAGAACCTGCTTCAGATTCTGTGTCTCCCTTTCTCTCTACACCCACCCTCTCCCCTGCTCATGCTCTGTCTCTGTCTCTCTCAAAAATAAATAAACATGAAAAATTTTTTAATAAAATAAAATGATGAAATCTAATCCACTAAATTCTATGGAGCTTTCCAAGGCAATTGAGAAAGAAGTCAAAAAGTTCAATCAATAAAAGTACCTGTTTGGTTGAAAAAATTTTTTTCTACCACTTACCAAAATATCCGAAATCTCCCATTTCTTTTCATTGAAGTCCTGAAAGCTGCATGCCAAAATAAAAATTATATGAAAAACAGCAGCCACCAGGTCACTCTTTAACATTACTGTAATATTCCACCTAGACTCTATCTCATAGTTTTCTTATTTATGATATTTTCTTATTGTTCTTTAATTTGGCTAGAATAGAAGCTTAATGAGAATAAGAACCATATCTGCCGTGTTTATTATTTTGTTCCAGATCCTAAAACAGAACCTGGCACAGAGTTGGTGAGCAAAAAGATGTGAATTCATTGAATCAATCAATAAATTTGTAACTAATTATACCTCTTAAGGAAGAATAGGATTGTCTCACTTTAGGAATTGCAAACTTCTATTTCATTTGTGTACAATAATTCTGAAAAGTTGTAGTGAATCTTCAGAAGCAAATCTAACATTGCTGGTACGTGTCAGTCTGCTTTTAAGGCCTTCTACATACTGCCTTCATCATCTCTTTTTTGGCTTCATATTATTCATGCAATGTATTCTAATTGTATTCTTTATAATCATTTCCAAGAAATAATATAAGACCACAATTCTAATGCAAAACTGTATTTGGAAAAATATTAGAATTAACTGTTTTCTCTAGTGATGATAGTGTTATTATAATTATAGTTGTAATTATATAATCTTTAAAACATCACATCTTTAAAAGATCATTTATCCTAATTAATTTACCTTTTACTATATAATCATGGAAGATGGGCCACCAATCCCACCCTCCTGATGTGATGTTTTGATGGGAACGTATAACTAATATAAAGTAGTCAAATGAGAATGCTTTAGGGAAAATAACTCATAGACTCTTTATGAGATTGCTCATTCCCTAATAAGATCAGATAATAATCATGTAGTTAAAACAATGGTAGTTCCAAACTCAAATAGCAGAGAAAATGTGCAAAAACTGATTTTTCCTTAGTACTGGGAAAATGCTCCTTTATTTTTGAGCTTGCTCATTGGATAGAGCGGCATTTTAGACACACTAAGAAGGATCAGGTAAGAATTAGAATAATGCATGAAAATTCTATATTATGTTGCAATAATGCAAGATTTGTTTTAAGGCCTACGATGTCATCAAGGTCCTGTCCTGAAATTGTCCACCAAATGCTTATCAATGATATTTATAACATTAAGCAAAGTTCTCTTTTCCAATAAGATGCATTCATGAAGTGCATAAATTAACTTATGTATTTTCAATTCATATTTAAGATTGTCAAGATTAATTACTGGAATCTTCTGAATTTTATAATAGGATAGGGATTAACTGATAACAGAATTGAACTGTAGAACGTTGGACAGAACCTTTAAAGAAGAGATTAAATTTAGATATTCAACTCTTTCAGAATTGAAAATCTAGAAATGCAGTACACATTAGTGAAATCTCATTCCAAAATGGTATGTATAAAAATGCTTGCATCTGAAAAGAATTAATGTATTTCCTTAATAGTATTTTAAACTAGAGAAATTTAGGTCGGTACCAGTTTTATGGCAGTTGTGTGTGTATCAAAAGATTGAATACTAGGCTCAATTTGAGGGAAGAATAACTATATGTAATTATAATTATAATTAAATAATTATGAATAATTATAATGGTCCTATTATAGGGGGGAAATACTTGTTAAAAAAGATCTAATGTAAGTTTTAGCCATAGTAAATTCTGTTAACTGCTGAATCCCCACTGCTTGTCACGGAGCTTGATAAGTAATAGTTGCCAGATGAATGAGTAAGTTCATTCTAATATAAAAATATATAAGGTAACTCTGGAAATTTAAATATAAGTCCATTTACTTATGGCCCTAATTTTCCTAAGACTTTCATCTAAAACGATAAGTAGCCTAATGCTCAGAAATATAACTAGAACTTAGGTATTTATACTTCTCTGTTTTTAAAAATAGAACTATTTGGTCTAGTCACATATGTTCACCTATTTTGTCCTATATCTTTGACGTCTAGCAAAACATTCCAAAATTTTAACTAGTTTTATTTTCATCTTCAATATTTGTATTGTTTCTCAATCATAATTTGCTTGTCATACAAATAGCTTTGATACAATTTTATTTTTTCTAATTAAGTACTCTTATTCTATAAATTCTATGTTATACATTTTGAAATAAAAGAAAGAATTGTTCACTTCAACAAACAAAAATCACTATTGATAAAATACAGAGGGGCTGTGTTTAAAGCAACAAATTTAATTGGAATGAGCCATTTGAGTAGAATTCACTAACTTGTCCTTGTGGGTCTATAACACAACGTTATATGTATTGCTTATGTGGGTAACATAACTGTCACACAAGCCCTATTTCTCCCCCTCCTCACCTGGCTAGCAACTTCTGTATTCAGTTTGCTGTCTGAACGCCATGATCATGCAGAGATGCATGGAGTTGAGTATGCCGCTACCAGTGTATGGTATAAGGCTTTTTCTATGGTGTTTGTATTACCAGTTCCTTCATAAAATGTTGTGATAAAATCACTTGAAAACCTGTATTAAGATATTCTCTCTTGTAAGGGCTTCTTAAAAGTGTGTACATACATGTTTATGTGTATATGAGAAAGAAGAGAGGAAGGAGAAGAGAAAAGTGGGGAGGCCCAAAGGGAAAGGGAGAGGAGAGGAGAGCGTTTGAGGGGGAGGAGAGGAGAGGAGAGGAGAGGATGAAGAAGAGAAATTTTGTTCCCTAGAGTCTTAAAAGTATAGCTCAATCCTAAAAATGATATCCTCCACTGAGGAAAACTTCTTTGCAAAGATTTTTACTAGATTGGAGGTTGGCAGAAGACAGTCTCTTTACTGAGGCTCAATTTAATTACTTGTAGAATAAGAATAATATTTCCTCACAGAATGGCTTATGAAAGTTAGTGACATAATATACATGAAGAATTTAGCCCTGGCCCTGACACTTTGAAAGAGCTTGATAAATACTGTTTATTTGTAGACAATAGCTTTTAGGAGGATAGGAGAGTACAACCAAAACCCACACAAGAAACCAAAAAACAAAACACCACCTTGAATTTTGCAATGAAATGTTGCAAATGACTTAAGAGATAAACATTTAAATGATCTTGAGTTGTGCTAGTGCCATCAAGTTCATAATTTTTAGAAATCTTGAATACATCCTATGTCCACAGTCAAGAATGACATAAATACATGGGTAAAACCAGAGCAACAACCAAATCAGCAGATAAATACACCTATTTTCACTGGCCACTGATTAAATAGATTGGCTGAAAGTGATCTCTTGCTATGACTGAAGACAAAATCTGGTTTGAAATACTTCGTTAAGTAAATCCAATGCTCCAAGTAAGAAACTTACATCCAAATCAATGTGAATCAGATCACTCTTTCCCAGACTTCTTTTTGCTACAATGTATTAGGCTGAACCATATGAAAATGCTAATATTTGACCATTTTTAATCCAAAAACACTTAAGTTGCATATAGTTCAACTTGGTAGATAAAACTTTTTACTGTATTAGCTTCAAGATATTGTATGGTTAGTAATCACAACTTTTTTTTTTATTTTTTATTTTTTTAAATTTTTTTTTTCCAACGTTTATTTATTTTTGGGACAGAGAGAGACAGAGCATGAACAGGGGAGGGTCAGAGAGAGAGGGAGACACAGAATCGGAAACAGGCTCCAGGCTCTGAGCCATCAGCCCAGAGCCTGACGCGGGGCTCGAACTCACGGACCGCGAGATCGTGACCTGGCTGAAGTCGGACGCTTAACCGCTGCGCCACCCAGGCGCCCCAATAATCACAACTTTTTAAAAGAACCTTATTCCAAACAAAAACAAACAAATAAATGAAACTTATTCTAATAGAGACCCCACTTGCCCTCTCTTTCTTCTAAAAGATGAATACCACATGTGGATACACCAGTGTGGTACATGCCAAGGTGAGTAGACATGTGGAATGATGGAATAAAAATTAAGAAAAAATGATTTCTCTTACATTTTTAGGGATACTACAACAAAGCTTCTGAATACTTTCAACAAGCTTTTGACACAACAGCAGAGCTAAGGAACATGCGTCACGTGGATGAGACAAAAGTTCACTATGGGATAGCAAAAGCTCATCAGATAATGCTGACCGTAAACAATTATATCGAGTCTGACGATCTCACCAGCCTTGACTACCTGCTGTCGTGGAAGGAGAATAGAAGCAGCATTGCACCACATCCGATTATCGGTAAGACTTTGCTTTTTGAAAACAGTTTTTGTGTCATTCTTGATGGCTGCATTGGTGATTTTTATTTTATCGGTAACTTTAATTATTCTTTACCACACGAATATCGGATGTGCCTTCATGCTGTACTGTATGTACCTTTGATGATAAGGAAAGCAGGAAATACTGGTAATGATTAAACGCGACAAATCACCATTTTCATGCCGTTTGGTTTTTGTTTGTTTTTTTTTCAGTTGTCTCAAGTACTCAACAATATGCACCGATCAGTTGAAAGGAATGTGATACAAGTTTGTGTTTTTTAAAACGTGGTCAGTGTTGTACCTTATTGATAAGAAAAGTCACGGATGCTAGTTCACAGATACTAAGCAGTATTAATGCAATTGGTGCTATACTCTTACTTTACCAATGGTAGTAAATTTTCCTGTATTTGATCAATTGAAGTTAGAATATTAATTTAGAAAAATTTAGTATTAATTTCTTTCAACTCCATGTCTTTTCTTATAGAGTTTTTCTTGTAACAATTTGTCAAAATAGTCAATTAAAAACAAATAACTAAAGGGGATGTGAAGGTCACTTTTATGTGTCAGCCTGACTTAGCTCGAGTCCTCAGTTAAGAACTTCAGAATAGAATTTTTTAAAAATTTTAACAGTACTGCCTATGACAGACCTTTAGGCTGCATAATTGTTAGTACATCAAACTTTTTCAAGCAAAATATTTTGGGGATGTTTGGGGATAACTCAAATAGAATCGTAGACAAAATTCTGTTATGTAAAGAAGCCTCTCCTGCTTGGAACTCTTTTCTTTCCCTTAGGTCATTTAGATGAAACAATAAGCCCTTTGGTATTTATTTTCTCCATAGAATAAATAGTAAATAATAGTAAATTGAGCACAAAGGAATTTTATTGCTTCTTGTATATTAGTAGAATACCACTTACCACTGTCTGTCCTCTTGTTATGAAATAAGTAAAGGTCTCATTCCAAATATATATACACGATGAAGTCTTAAAAAACAGATAGCTTGTTGAATTTCAATGTGCTCAAGTGTCCAACAAATATTTACAGTTAACTATTAACTAACCACTTTTCAATAATGTTTTGCTCACTTCAGTATGTTGTGTTGTCATATATTTGAGAGCTTGTTCTGTAGTTTTGAGTTATCTTCCCTTTACTGCTTCATGTTGTCCGCCCAGGAGATAAAGCAGAGGAAATATGATCCATCTATCTATTAGATTACTTCTTCTGATAAAAGGTTTGGTAGAGAATAGGTTGGGCTACTCACTTCTTCAGATTTACTTGGATAAGCTCTAACCATTATAATAATAATCAGGAAAAAAATACTCCTCAAAACTAGGTTCTCTGATCAGAACCATGTGTCTTTTTGCTGCAGTCCTTTTGGGGCTTTTCAAAGATCTCTTTTGTTTTTCTTTACTCTATAAAGCTATTTATTTTTCTATTCTTTTTAAATTTTATCCTTGTTTTTGGTAAGGGTGTTCCAAAGGGCTTAGGAAGCACACACACAAAAAAAAACACATTTCAAAATATTATTCAGAGAGTAAAAACTCAGCTATTCGTATGATGGAGAAGATTAAATTCTCTGAAACACTATAAAAGTATACCCCCTTCCTGATTCATTCGACTGAGATTAGAAATCTATGCATGGATGAGCTATGTCGTTATAAAAGTGAAGAAGAATAATCTTGCAGATTCAAATATAAATGAGAAGTTAATTCTTCTATTACTGGCATGTTTAACATTTTTAGTGATAGTTCTATTTGGAAATAAGACCTGTAGACATTATCAACATACTTGCTTGTTTACATAGACATATTTTAGTTCAAAATACACTAAAATCTGCTTTCTCATTGCTTCAAAAATGTTTCTTAAACCACAGCTCCTTATCATTCTACCTTTGCTCTGTTTCAAAACCTTCATTGGATCCCTACGGCCTACAAACTAAGTACAAGCTTCTCAACGTTTTTTGACCACCTCCTTTCCCCTACTTCCCCCTCTTCCCCCCAGATACACACAACATACATTGTTATCACCTTACTTCCAACTCTAACCCCATCCAGGGAAATCTCACTGGTCTTGCAAAGTTCTTCTCAAATGTTGAAATCTTCCCTGATCCCCCTCTTACTGGACTCTTGTCTCTTCTCTCTGTTCCCACATTGAATGCCATTCATTTCTCTCCAAGCACTTTTCATTTGTCATATTCTGCATCCTACCACAGCCATTTCTGTAATTGCCTTATCAGCCCAGTGAAAGTAGGAGTGTCTTGAAAACAGATTCTGATTTTTGGTGTTTCCTACAAAATAGGGGCAATGTCTAACATCTGCTAGGTACCAAGTAAATATTTGTCAAATTAAATTGAATTCAAAATGAGTATGTGTGTCCTAGCCATGAACTCTTTGCATGAACCACTTTTTAAAACAGGAGTCATAGTTCCATGACTTCTTGGAAAAACAACAACAACAAAACAACTACAATCCAAAGCTGTATTTTGGTTACTGTGTGGTTATCACATGAATGCAGGACAACACCAAGTACGATGTTGACAAAATGAAGAAATATAGAAATATTATTTGAAAATCTGAGCAGCTTTTAGGTTTTCAAATTTTGCCTTTCTTCTCTGAAGAGGCATCTTTAATCTTGCTATTGAGGGGTCCCATGTATTCAGGAAAAAAGTAGATCAAAGATTTGAAAGATATATTATAAAAGCTGTGCAGTTTTCTTCACCTCTGAGACTTACATCCTCCAAACAAATCATTAGCTCACAGAGCAGGCAATATTCTTTTAAGCAGAGGAACATGACCCCCTAAGGGAATAGAGCGGTGAGAGCACTCAGGTCTCTAGATAAAATAGAACCGTGATTCACCAGCAATCATATCTCATCTTTGTACCTTTCGGAGGGAACACTGCAAATATAGGAACCTTCCTACCATTCTAACACTCTTAGATATGGTTGGAATAATTTCACATCTTTCCTTTCCTTTTCAGTAGTAAAATAATAAGAATAGATTCTCTTCCCAAATTTAGGAATTTAGAAGGAATTCAAATTTATTACAATTCAATAAAATTATTCAAGCCTGAAGCAACAGAAATTGGTTGGCTCTGGAAGGATTAAGGGCCTATGAATTTCTACTGATTTCTCCAGAATATAGTTTATTTTTCCTACTAGAACTATTATGTCTACAATCATGAAATTTATTTTTTAATGAAAAGCTAATTCATCTCGCCTTTTGGAGATTATAGACCCAAGTGTGAAACAGTGACAGAGAAGCAAAGCTTTTCTTGTGCAATTTAAGAGTACTGTTAACGTAGAAATGTAATTATGGCATTCAAATGCCAACATGGTTAACCACTTCACTGATAATATCAGTTACATGGTTTTAATGCACATTCTTATTGAAGTCAAATGTAAATTATATCAGAGAAATAGGATGCAAATCCTGAGTATAGAAATAGATGAATACACTGGCTAGTCAGTAATGACACTTTTCTACAAAATGACATGTAAAGGTTTCCTTGAGTGCCAAAAATATCACTCTTGTTTTATGAATCATTTAATATTCTTAAAAGAAAACAATCAAGATCATGAATTTGTCTCTCAGCCCTTGGTTTATGTTGGTTTAATGTTGAATCCTTGGTTTAATGTCGAGCCACATTTTCCTACCCTGTTCTTTGCTTGTATTTTTTATTCATGAACTCAGCCCTTTTAATGAATGTGAAAAAGCCACATTCATGAGTGAGCCTCATGTTCTATTATACTTTGATCAGCTACTTCAGTTAAATAACCCTAACAATGAGGAGAAAGTTATGGAATCAGCCCAAAAGTCAGCAAGCAGGTTTTATAGCATCTTATTGTCACAGAGCAAACCTCTGTCTCTAAAATGTGTTCAAAAACATGACACATTAAAAGAAGGTTCTGGTGAAAAATCTGACTGAATCAAAGCTCACCCTACTGGCATTTGGGGTAATTGAGAGATGGTGTTGCTCAAAAGTCCAGTTACCTGGATTCTAATACCATATTGAGCTCTAATTAGCTTTGTGACTTCGGGCAAAAGATTTCAATTCAGTTATCTTTATCTGAGATTCAAAACGGGTCATTAATAAGATTCCTCTGGAACAGGCAATAATCCCTCAGTAGGAGCATATTCTAAACACATATGGTATTTTGTAGTCTTTAAGAACTCAATCTAGATTTTTGTGAGCATTTTCTTTGTTTTTCCCCCATAAATACTTGTTTCTGTTGGTTTACACAAAAGGGAATTTTATTATTGTTATTATCATTGTTACTATTTTAATATATCAAACAGCTGTAAAATTGCAAGGTATAAATATTTGATCTTTCTGCTAGAATTTATAATAGAGTTTCTAGCTCTCTGCTGTCATATGCAGTTTTACTTGTCCCTGTTTGGCATTGTTGAAGTTGCTAAAGCTAGTGCACTATTTCATCTGCAGACTTTCAATTGATCCTCCTATTTTCAATCCTGTGTCATACTTCTCCTCAGCATCTCCTCAGCCCCTACCTGTCCCCACTGTTCCCTGGGCCTCTGATTCCTGAATGTGCCTGGTTCTTTATTCATCACTACCCCTTCTTCATGCACTTCGGTCTGTTGGCTGTCTCTGCCTTCCTCAATCCGGTACCATTTTCTAGCCTCTTTCTAGCTTCTGAAAACAGGTTAAAACCTTCTTGAACTTTTTTGAGTTTATAGAATCATGAAATTATTGAACTGTGTGCACCAAAGAAATTACTTGGCCCACAGTTTTTCTTTTCAAATGTCCTCAGGTCCAGGGAAAGGCAGTCATGCAAAAATCTGAAAGACAAAATGGGTTTATAATCTAGTGTTCTAGAATTCTAGTTCAGGAATTCTTTCCATGCTTTGCACTTTTTTACAATATTACTTTATATTTACTAGAAGCCATGTCTACATTTAAAAAGATTATAATTTTTCAATGTTTGTTTATTTTGAGAGAGAGAATCTTAAGCAGGCTCTAGCTG